GTAGGTTATGTTTCAGTAAACAACATGACAGTAAGTTAAGTATATGTATTTAACCACTGATAAATAAATACATGCTTGTCGATGTATTGCCCAGATGAAAAACTAGATCCGTCCATACTTTTAAAAATTTCTCTTTGTATATCAGCCAAGTGTCTTGGAGGTACTCAATCAACCGTGGATAAGTCGCGTAATCGTCCACTAAAACTCTGTAATTCCGGTCGAAATCTCCTTCACACACTGATGTTACCAAAGTTTGTCACGGACCGAGTACAAAAGCAAATCCTTGACGCCTATTATTGCCAAAACACTTTGAAGCACGACGCCCCACATTCATGTTAATGTGCCAAAGACATAATAGATGAGGCACAGTCGGAAATACATTAACTATTGTCTTTAAGAGCCCTAACTCGCGATCAGTCACGAGTGCACTAGGTAGAGTATCTGATACAATTCCAGGAGATTTGAATAATATGGATAAGGATAAGCCATATCCATAACTGCTCCAGAGGAGCAGTTTCTATTTAGTTATTAGGAAGTTAATGTTAGTTTTATATAAATAGTTTTTCCTTGTTAGTTTTTAGGGGGATTTGAATGAGTATTCTGTGTGAAATTCTGGAGCATTGTCCTCTCCATACGGACAACCTACTTGGTGGATTTTATGTTTAAGATTCTTGCATTAAATCTACTTTTGTTTTATCTTTTATTGTAGTTTTAGTGTTTATCTCTATTTCCTTAATCGGTATCTATCAGTTTGGTATCAAAGCCAGGTTTCGATCCATCATGGTTAATACTAGATCCACTGCTTCTCAACACGAATCCACGATCCCACCCACCGACCATATTAGTCAACAGTTGGCGTCCATCGCTTCCAAACTCGAAACGATTGATGCTCTGGCTGCCGATGTGGCTGTCCTCAAAGCCCAAGCCAACCAAACACGGCAAACCGACAAAGGAAAAGGGGCAGAAACGAGCCTTGGCAACCGACAACGTGAAAAATCAATTTGGGCAGATGATGAAGATGATGCAGATACTGGAATGAACAGCCACAGTAAGCCGCATTACTATCCCCGACGACCTTACACGAAAATGGATTTTCCTAGGTTTGAAGACGGAGATCCTCGAGGATGGATTCTTAAGGCGGAAAAGTATTTCCGTTACAACCAAACTCCCGAAGACTTGAAGGTAGATATCGCTTCAATGTACTTAGAAGGAGATGCGTTGGATTTGTTCGCGTGGATCAATAAAGAGCGCACTATCTTGTATTGGGATGAACTCGTGAAGGCTTTCCAAGAAAACTATGGCCCTGCAGAATTCCAAAATCCAGATGAATTTCTTTGTGGCATTCAACAAACTAAATATGTTCAAGAATATCGACAAGAATTTGCTAGACGATCTGCACGAGTTTCTAATTGGCCAGAACACTGCCTCTTGGGCATTTTCCTCAATGGGTTGAAGGAAGAATTACGAGCAGATGTAAGAATTCATAAGCCCCGAACGGTGTATAAAGCTATGAGTTTGGCACTAGAATTTGAATCCAAACTTACATCTAATTCAGATTCAAGTTGTCTTCGTAGCGGAAACCAATTGTCTACACCAAATAAACCAACCCCACAACACCATTCATCTATTCCCAGATCCATACTTCATCCAGATTCAGTTAAACTTCCGACAACAGCGCAAACTGCACAAGCACTTACAATGGAGGAGCGACAATTACGAATGGCGAAAGGCCTTTGTTTTCGATGCAACGAAAAATTTGGACCGGGGCACCGTTGCAAAATATCAAACCTTTCACTCATGGAAGTTATGAATGGTGAAACTCCAGTCGTAAGAGATAAAGAATCCATCAATTTATGTACCGAAGATTCTTCTATGGCAAGATTGGCCGAAATTTCCTTTCCGCCTTGAGGACAAGGCGAATTTTCAGGGGGGGTGTACTGATACAATTCCAGGAGATTTGAATAATATGGATAAGGATAAGCCATATCCATAACTGCTCCAGAGGAGCAGTTTCTATTTAGTTATTAGGAAGTTAATGTTAGTTTTATATAAATAGTTTTTCCTTGTTAGTTTTTAGGGGGATTTGAATGAGTATTCAGTGTGAAATTCTGGAGCATTGTCCTCTCCATACGGACAACCTACTTGGTGGATTTTATGTTTAAGATTCTTGCATTAAATCTACTTTTGTTTTATCTTTTATTGTAGTTTTAGTGTTTATCTCTATTTCCTTAATCGGTATCTATCAATATGTGGGGGGGAAAGTCTCTTCAGCCTTTGCAACACCCATGTATAATGGTCTTCATTTTCATGGCGCATAAATACCACTCCAACAGTAAATTTTTTTCCGACAGGAGTAACACCAACAATCTCCAACAAAGGCAATTTGTACTGATTGGTTTTATAAGTACTGTCAAGTAGTATAACGTACGGAAACTTACTTAACAATTCGACAGATAGAGGGTGAGCCCACATCAAATCAATAACTTCATGTGTGGTTTCATCTTTACTGAACCACTTGTATAGTTATGCTCCTCAAGCAACCCAATCAAATGTTGCATCACTGTACGGTCACCCCTAGCTAATCTTCTCAATTTCGCCTTTTCATTATATATTTGTTTCGAATAAGCATCGAGACCCAAGCCATTTTGTCTCAAGTTAGCCAAAATCTTCTTGGGCGGCACATGACTTTGTGAAAGATCCTTGATAATCTTCACCCCCGCTTCATTCAATGCACTAATCCCATGCCCAGACATGTATATCGGAAAATGACTATGCTTCCCATATACTATTCTGAGCCCCCATTTATCGTCCAACCGCCGCTCTCCGACAATTTGAAAACCACAGTTTAATTTTTTGCTACCAGACCTTTTCGAGGTCGCCTACGTTAGTTTTTCGGGGCCCTCCGAACAGGTCACAAGTCAGACACACTTTCTTTGTTTTGGGGGCATTTTTTTAATTAATCTCACGAAAAGAAAAGAGCTCTTGCAACGGACCTCGCCCAAGCCACTAACTCGTCCGCCGAGTCAAACAATTGAGTTGTTGTAAAATAATCGGTATGATCAACTTCAGTTGTAGACGTATTGTCCTGATAAAAACATTAAAAAATTATTTAAAAAAAAAAAACGGATTTGAACCGGACGCTCAACTCGGGCGCCCAATTAAGCAATGCACGCCCAAGTTGGGCGTGCAGTTGGCTTCCGGACGCCCGCATTGGGCGTGGAGCTGGGCGTTTGCACAATTTTCCCGGTTTTTTCGATCGAAAAGACGGAATTTTTACCTCGTTAGATCCGCTATCACGGTCTTCATCCGATGAGCTCATTTGTGTTCGTATATCACATCAACAAGAATAATTTTTAAGCAAATTTCCTTCAAAAACTTCTTTTTCTAGAGAGAGAGAATATTTTAATAATAAACCGCAAATAGCAATTTTACAATCGCGAAAAGCAAGTCCCAATTGGACTATAGGTAATTCGAATGAAAATAGTATAAAAAAATTCGATTGAAATCGGCCTTTAAATCAAAATTTTCATTCTGATTTCCATCCCTACCGCCGGGTCTATACCGTAGGGTAATAGTAATTTTCGATTGCATTATTGTGTGTGCTTTTTTACTTTTCTGTTTTTGTCTTTCTAAATGTTTTAATAATAAAAAAAGAAAAAAATAAAACTTTTTAAAAAGGATAATCAATACTCAATAGTCAATAGTGTACATATAATAATTAATAAACAAGTCCAAGTGAAGAAGAATATCGAGAATACAATATTAATATTAATTATTTATTATTTTTTTTTTTTAAGTAAATTCAAGTCCATTACAAGGGGAAATAGGGGTGGGGGGACTCGAACCCTAGACCGTTACCCTAGTGGTAAAGGCTAGACCGTTAAATGATGTGGGTTTGTCCTTTGAAAGGAAAAAGAGAGGGAGAAAAGACTTGACCGGAAAAAAGCTGTCCCCCGCCACGTCAACGTCACATCAGCCGCCTGACGTATTCCGCCACCCAATCGCCGCTCTTAAAACCCTTCCCTCCGATCAATAACTCTGCAAGTCTCTCTGTAAATCAAAATCGAGAGTCTAATCTTCACGAAATACCTAATTAATTCGATCGAACAATGGATAGCGGAGCAATGACCAAAGGCAACGCCGCCTTCGCCGCCGGCAACTACAGCGACGCCGTGCGCCACTTCACCGACGGCATCAATTCCTCCCCCAACAACCACGTCCTCTACTCCAACCGCTCCGCCGCCTACGCCGGCCTCAATAGATTCTCCGAAGCCATTTCCGACGCGCAGAAGACCGTCGAGCTCCGGCCGGTCTGGAGCAAGGGCTACTCGCGTCTCGCGGCGGCGCACATGGGCCGCCACAACTACGACGACGCCGTTTCATCCTACAAAAGAGGTCTCCTAATCGATCCGTCGAACGAAGCTCTCATATCGGGTCTCGCCGACGCCGAAGCAGCTTCCGCCCGGAGCTCCGCCTCTCCGCCGGTCGTGGACTCTGTTCCACAATTGAATCTCCTGAAAATCAATAATGAAGAAGAAGAAGACGATAAATCAATTGTAGCATCAGCTCACAATGCTCCGATCGTTTCTTCCTACAACGACAAAATCAGGCCGCTCCTCGACACAATCGACCGGCTGCGCCACCTGAAAGTCATGCAGGAAGGCATCCAGCTCCCCACCATCGTCGTCGTCGGCGACCAATCCTCCGGAAAATCCAGTGTCCTAGAGTCACTCGCCGGAATCAGCCTCCCCAGAGGCCAAGGCATCTGCACCAGGGTACCCCTAATTATGCGTCTCCAGAATCACCCAAACCCTAACCCTGAAATTTTCCTCGAATTCAACGGCAAAACAGTCCCCACCGATGAAGAAAACATCTCCGACGCAATTAGCCTCGCCACTGAAGAGATCGCCGGAAAAGGGAAAGGGATTTCAAACAAACCCTTAACCCTAGTCGTGAAAAAGAACGGCGTCCCCGATTTAACCATGGTTGATCTGCCCGGTATAACTCGAGTTCCGGTTCACGGCCAACCCGATGACATCTACGAACAAATCTCCAAAATAATCATGGAGTTTATCACACCGGAAGAGAGCATAATCCTCAATGTTTTATCGGCAGGTATCGATTTCTCGACCTGTGAGTCTATAAGAATGTCTCAGAAAGTTGATAAAACCGGGCAGAGAACTCTTGCTGTTGTCACGAAAGCTGATAAATCCCCCGAAGGATTGCTCGAGAAGGTCACGGCTGATGATGTCAGCATCGGCCTCGGTTATGTCTGCGTGAGGAATCGTATTGGAGACGAGTCATACGAGGAGGCTCGGGCGGAAGAAGCTAGGCTTTTCGACACTCACCGCCACCTGTCAAAGATCAACAAGTCGATTGTTGGGATTCCTGTTTTGGCCGAAAGGCTGGTGAAAATTCAAGCTACCATTATTGTCAAATGTTTGCCTGGAATTGTTACGAAGATCAACGAAAAGCTCACTGCCAATGTCGAAGAGTTGAACAAACTGCCTAAGCATTTAACCTCTGTTAGTGAAGCAATGACAACCTTCATGTACATTCTTGGCTGTGCTAAAGAATCGTTGAGAAAGATACTTATCCGAGGAGAGTTTGATGAATATCCCGATGAAAAGGAGATGCACGGTACTGCTAGAGTTTTCGAAATGCTCAACAAATACTCCGAGGAACTTCGATCTGCAGAAGACACTAATGGTTCCGAAAAGTTCTTGATTGACGAGATAAAGGTTTTGGAGGAGACTAAAGCAATCGGGCTCCCAAATTTCCTCCCTAAAGCTGCTTTTCTTACTCTGTTGAAAAAGAAGGTGAAGTCGATATCTACAATACCCTCTGATTTCACAGACAAAGTATGGAGTTACGTGGAAAACGTGGTGGTCTCCGTTTTGTTAAGGCATTCCGTCAACTACCCACAGCTCGTTTCGTCCACAAGAAGAGCCGCGAAAAAACTCATCGCCAAGATGAAACAACGATCATTCGATTACGTAAACGACATTGTGGAGATGGAGAAGCTCACCGACTACACGTGCAATCCCGATTACTCCGCTTCGTGGAGCAAGCTCATGGCTCACCAAGAAGATTTCAAGAAAGCCCTCCAGAGGTTCTACAGCGTGTCCTACATAGGCTCCGGCGTGCTGGAGAAAACCGACGTGGCTCACCTATACGAGCTAAGGGAGAAGGACATTGTGCAGGAAGCGTTCGACGTGAAGATGAGGATGATGGCGTATTGGGAGATTGTGCTGAGGAGAATGGTGGATAATATGGCGCTGCATTTGCTGTTCAACGTGCAGAAGCTGGTGAACAAAGACGTGGAAATGGAGATTGTGAATGAGGTGATTGGGCCGAAGGGGAACGGGTTGGAGAATATACTCGAGGAGTCGCCTTCGGTTGCAGGGAGGCGGCATAAGCTGAAGAACAGCATCGAGTTGCTTCGGGAGTCGAAGGATGTCGTTGCAAATATCATGGACATGATTACCGACAAGTTTGATTACTGAGATTTTCAAGAATCGGGTTCTTGAAGTTTGGTTTGCTGCTGCTGCTGCTTAGTTTGTGTTGTGTTTGAATGTTGAACTGCATATTTTGTTGTTTGAATGTTGGTTCTAAGATGTGTTTTTCGATTGGGCCGGGCTTTTTTGTTTATTACAATATGGGATGTGTTTTGAACATGGGCCAGGCCGTACTATATTACAAATTCTAATAGTTTAGATTTTTCGATTTCAAAAAAAAAAACGAAATTGGTGGGCATATTGTTTTCTAATTTTTATCCGATTTTAATTTTCTAAAATTCCAAAAATTTCTCAAAAATATGTACCTATAATATCAACATTATAATGTAATTTATATTATTAGGCGATTAAAAAAATGAAAATTCTGACGCTGATTTCGATCCAAAAAAAAAAAAAAAATTCAATTTTGAAACAAGTTTTACCATTTGAATTTTTGAAATTCGGATTTCCTATTTTTCCAAATTTTTTTATGAGAAATTGTAATTAGCTTTTCACTTCTAATTTTATTTTATGAATTATTCCGAAAATGATAATTCCAATTCGACCGTTTCGATTTTGCACCCCTAATATGTGTATAATTTTACATTGTAATAAAAAATACCCCACTGAAAATATCTCCCAAAAGGAAAAAAAAGAGAGAGAGAATGATTAATATGTATGAAGTGAGTGAGAAATGATAAGTGTTCAAACTCTTGCAATGAATGAAGCCTAAAATGTGTCTCCATCTTTTCCTTTCCGGAATAAAGGAATTTAAATTAGCAATAAAATAAATACAAAAAAGTATATGATAGACCAGTCGAGCTAGCCTGATTTTCCGAGCTCGAGCTCGAGTTCGAGTCAAATTTGGTGAACTCGAGCTCGAGCTTTTGTCGAGTTGGCTCATCGAGCTCGTGAGTAGGCTCAACTCATTTACACTCATATCTAGATCAATGGTTCAAGATCACCCGGTGTATTTTGACCGAATTTAGAATTACTATTCGTATATAAAAAAATCTACAGTTATAGCTCATAAACTAATTGAAATTAATAATTAATAATTAGGGTAAATTACAAACACCCCCCTGAGGTATGGTCAAATTACAAAAACACCCCTCTTGTTTGGATAATTACAACCACCCCCTCAACTCCTCAAATTTAGTGGAATCTTCGAGATTTTATGGAATATTATCACTTTTGTACCCGTTTTATCCCATTCAAACTCTACATTATGAAGCAAGATGATCATAATATATGATTTTTAGCTTGTATATATCAGTTTCTGGTGCATCGAAAACTGTATTTTTACACAAAACGAGTACAAAATACAGCACATTTCACGGAATCTAGATGATTATGTTGAATTTGACACCATAAGGGTGGAGGTGTAAGAAAAAATCATAGTTGAGGGGGTAGATGTAATTATCCAAACAAGAGGGGGGTTTTTGTAATTTGACCAATACCTTCAGGAGAGTGTTTGTAATTTATCCTAATAATTAATAATTAAAGAATTAAAAATTAATTCTGAAATGAAAGGAGTTAGAAGGGCATGGTATAAATAGACTTTATTAATAGTACATAAATAATTTCTAATTGTAGAAGAATTCTCACTGTCGGTTGTGTGTTTGTACCAAAATTCAATTTTCATTCGTAAAAGTAAATCTGATGAAATTTATAATATATTTCATTTTCACCCCTTAAATCAACAAATATTATTTTGTATATTATATTTGTAAATCTAAACTCTAAAGTATTAAGCTATTAACTTATATACATATTTATCATTATTTTGTTGTTCTTAATTGTCCATGATCATGATGACATTTGTTTTTTTAATAATATTCTTTTTATCATCTTATTGCTTATGAGGTGTTTGGGCTAAGCTTATGAGCTGTTAAAAAAAAGTTTATAAGATGTTTAAGAGTTATAAGTTCTTTCATAGTTTTTTTGTAACTTAAAAAATATCTTAAAAATTCAAAAAATAAGTTGTTGGATAACAAATATATTTTATAATGAATAAAAATAGTTCATAAAATCATTATCCAAACACTTTAAATATTAATTTTAAATTTAAGACGTAGTAACTTATCGGTTCTTAAAACAACTTACCAAATGTAACAGTTTATCATCTGTTTAGTTTAGTCAAATGGTACCTTAGTTATTATTATTATACAATGACTAATTGACTATTAACCACAACTTTCTTCTTAAATGAAATTTTTATTGTATTTATATTTATATAATAAAATGCATTTATGACTCAAATCATTGGCCGATTATGGAAAGGTCCAACATGCAATTATTTTGCTAACGACTCTACATTTTAGTGGCAAAAAATAGCCACTCAATTGATGAATGAAAGGACTAAGAATGTAATCAATCACTTTCATAAATATGTAAATGTATCTTAGAATTTATACTTCTACCGGCGCGTGGGGTGA